CTTCCCCTAAGCTGAGAAGGTTGAATTGTATCAGCTGAAGGGGCAGTAGTTACAGGGTCAGGAAGAGGTGCTGAAATAGTAGAGGAATAGGCAGAACATCATCAGGAACAGGAGAATCAGTAATAATGGAAGCAGGAGAAAGGGCAGGAGAAGGAGAAGGAGAAGGAGACGTATCATCAGAAATGAAAGTGTGAAACTGACTAGGAGAAGATAACGGAAGGGAGTAAGGGAATATATATTCATGAAAGATGATATCTTAGGAGACCAACACAGATTTAGTAGACAGATTATATAGCTTGTATCCTTTCTTACCAAATGGATAACCAAGAAAAACACAAGGTATAGCTCTTGGGTCAAATTTATCCCTATTATATTTAGGGGCAGTGGCATAACAGAGGCAACCAAAAGGCTTTAAGTGGGAATAAGAGGGAGCCTTACCATATATGATTTCAAAAGGGATTTTATTATGCAAAATAATGGAAGGAAACCTATTTATTAGATATGTGGCAGTTAGGATGCAATCCCCCCCAGAATTTGGTAGGTAGTTTGGACTGAAACAATAAACCTCTTGCTCTCTCTAACAAGTGTTTATGTTTTCTTTCAACAATGCCATCCTGTTGAGGTGTATGAGAACAAGTTTTTTGGTGAATGATCCCATTATCTGAAAATTTTATATGGCAGAAGTAGAAAGGCCAATTTCTAAGGCATTATCAATCATAATGGTTTTGACTCAAAGATTAAATTGGGTTCTGATCATAGAGATAAAGGCTTTTAGCAAATTGAAAGCATTACTTTTGGAATGCATTAGATGAGTCCAGGTTGCCCTGCTATGATCATCCACAATGGTCAAAAAATACTTTACACCAGAGTATGTGTTAGTATTATAGGGTTCCCGGGTGTCAACATGAATGAGTTCAAACAAACACTTGGAAACTAAGTTACTTTGGGGAAATGACAGCCTTGCCTGCCTTTCTAGGGGACAAATGGGACACACAAAAGATTGTTTAGAAGATAGTTGAGCAGAAATAGAAGAAATACTTTTTATTCTAGCAAATGGAATATGTCTCAGCCTATGATGCCAAAGTACATCATGTTTGTTTATACTAGGTACATCATTACTGGAAACTAAAAGAACACAATTTAATGCAGATTTAGATTGTTTAGTATTGGCAAAGAACCTATCACCACTATCCATACATTGTACATCTTTATTGTTTAGAGGCCTTGGTCCTGTCTACCAAGCTCCAGAAGTTTCCTCATGAAATGGGCCTGTATCAAGAGGCATGAAGAGGAAGTAAACAAGACCATGCAGTGAAATTGCTGAATCAACTTGTAAACTGAGACTAAATTATATTGAAAAATTAGGAATGTATAAGACTCTATGAAGAGTGAAAGAAGGGAACATGGTAACAGAACCAGTATAAGTAACTTCTGCTTTATAACCATTGGGAAGAGTTACCAAGTAAGGAGTAGGAAGTGGAGTAAGATTAAAAAGTATATTTTGTTTGAGGTCATATGGTAAGTAGCTCCACTATCTATAATCCAAACATTTCTACTAGCACCAGACAATAAGCAAACATGTGAATCATCATTAATATAAACAGGCAGAGAGAAAGTACTACCAGCAAAGTTGGTAGATCCCATGAGGTTAGTTTGAGAATCAGCAACCGAAGAAACTTGAGTCTGTTGCAAGAGAGACATAAGTTGTGCATACTGTTGCTTGGTCAATCCAGGTACTGAAGAGGCTTGTTCCTCATGGTCAGAAGTAGTGTAAAGTTGAGGTGAGTTGTACTGAGGTGGAGTGCAGGCTGTTGCAGGATACTCAGCCTCAGCAGTCATATTAGAAGCCATATCTTTCCCCTTCTTGAATTTGAAATTCTGTGGAAATCCATGTAACTTGTAGCATTTGTCGATTATGTGTCCAGGTTTTTACAATATTTGCAAAAAAATATTTTCCCTAGACTAATCAAAGTCCACTTTCTGAGTATATTGCTTTGGAGGGAATGTCTTATTGTTGACATTAGCATTGGCATTTGGATGGAAAGTTTTATTGCTGACATTCATATTGAAAGAAACAGCTTCTGGAACCAGTTGGGGGGTGTATTGAACTTGTCTCTGATTTTCATCTTGAAGAAGCATGTTGTATGCACTATCAAGTGTGGGAGGAGGTTGCATCATTAGCAAATTGCTTCTTACTCCCACATAGATTCCATTTAGGCCCATAAGAAACTGATGAAGCTTATCCTCCTCCTCATCCTTTTGAATACCATCTCTTGCAGCACACATGTAAAGATTTTCAGGGTTCTTACGCATTGTACCCAACTCACGCCAAAGCTTCTTTAGTTTATTGAAATATGACGCAATGTCAAGGGAACCTTGTTGTGTGGCGGCCAATTACTTATTTATTTCAAACACCTTAGTAGCATTTACAGCCCCATACCTACTCTCCAATTGATTCCAAATACTCTCAGCTATCTCGGAGTACTGGACACTCTCAGCTATGGTTAGTGAAAGTGAGCTGGTTAGCCACGAAATTATCATATTGTTGCATCTATCCCATTGACACAGTTTTGCAACATCAGTGGTAACTGGCCTAGGACATGAGCCATAGACAAATCCTATTTTATTCTTAGTAGAACGAGACTATCATGCTTCTTCTTCAACCTCCGTACCCCGACCCAGAGAATGGAGTGCTCACCAAACACATCCCAGGTATATTAGATGAGTGGAGAAATAAAGGACTTATGGGGTCAGGAATGCATGTAGAATTATCATTAGAACTAGCACTCACATGAATTTCAGTATTCACCATTTTAGGAAGGTACATAACACTTAGATGCAAAAGAAAATGTCTAAGGTTTTTCTGTCACAAAAAAAAAGTCTTCCAAACCAACTCAAAATAAAACTCGGCAAAAGAGAGAAATACTCACCGATAATCCAATTTTCAGCAAAAAATCGAAAGATTGTAGTCGCAGACCAAATCGCAAAAAAATGGTGAACAAGCAAAACCTTCGATTCAAACGGTAAGGGTAAGATCGATTGACTCCTCTCGTAAAGATCTATCTAACGCCCATGGCTCTGATACCATGTGAAGATTAACCAACCATCTACAACGTATATGAATTGGTTAGGGTTTCAGACAAGAGAAAAGAAGAGAGCTTAGAGAAAAAATTAATATTTTAATTATGAGTGTAAAAATCTATACAGAGACTTCTAGAAACCTATATTTATACTTGGGGACAAAATTTTAAACACACAACCCTATTTTACATGGGCTGTAAACCCGAAAACTTATAAATATATGTGGGCCAAACTTTGGGCCAGATCTGGACTAAAGCTATCTAATAAAACCAACTAATAAGTGGGTTGTATCCAAGATATCATGTAATGCCAACATCTTTAGCTCTTGTTATGCACCTGCGCAGAGCTTCTTTACTGCTAATGCTACAGGTAATACTTCTAACGAAGTAAAAGAATTGCTACTTTATCAAAATCAATTCCAACGAAATCAGGAAACCTTGATATCATAGTCAAGACTTGTAACTGTAATTCATAGCAAACTCATATGAGGACAACGTCACATCCTTAACTTAGTAAAACATGTCTTAAGCACATCCATCGTGCACATAAAGTCATAAGCCATATAAGAAACATAGCATTTCGTGTGATTGGAACATAAATATCACGTAGTATATCATAATGACATATTTGGAATGCATTTTAAAAACTAATAGTGTTAAGACCCTATTCAATAATGGTTACTTTAACTTGGAAAATGAAAGGAGTTGATAGAGCCCCAAATGGGATAACTCACAATTCAAATAGCTTCATTGTGCTGCAGTTCTAAGACCTTTCTTTTGCTTGGTACTACCAAACCATCATAGAATGTACAATAATCAAGTTAATTTCCAGGATCAAATTGAGGATTTTAAAAAGTTTCGACGGGAACAACACCTTTTTCCTATAGTTTCCACTGTTAGTTTACAGTTGTGGATTAATCTTCCCTCTAAACATAAAATGTTAATGAATCTTTTGGCCAAATCCTAATTTTGTTTTGCTTCTTCCGATCGCCGAGCCAGATCGACTCGACTCTTTTTCAACCCCGGGACTCTCACTTTATTTCGTTCTTTTTCTGTATCATCGCTTAAATGAAGACACCCAGCTACCGACCCAAGGCGTCGATCGGGAAAGTCATAAAGGGACGTTAAACATAATTCTAGAAGGGCTTTCCCGTGAAAAAACTATGTGAAAGATTTTTAGATTAGTCCCACAACTTTTAGATGAATTGGGATGAGATTGAAAATGAATTGAGTTAATGATAAACGGGTCAATGACCCACCCAAACTTGGGCATATTGGGCAAGTCATGTTTTTAGACCAATTTCGACACCTCTATCCACATAAGAACTCTTAACGATTTACAAAGATATTGTAGTTTTACAAAATCCTAACAGCCCAGGCTATATGCGTTGAGGTGTATACAATAAAGACCAAAAGAAATCAACCCAATTGATCATCTTCTCCCGCTACTAGTATCTCGAAATTGGGAAAAGCGTTTTTTTTAGCTAGCGTTTGGCCATAAATTCCTAAATTTATACTGAAAAATTTAATTTGGGTGTAGTTTGGTTTGAAAATAAAAATGTGTTTGGACATTTGTTTTGGGTAAAATTTGGTTTAAAAAAATATAAAATATGACTTATACCCATAAATTCTAAAAACTATCACAAATACCCAACAGTACCATTATCAATAACATTCATTATATTATCGCAAACCATAGTTCTGAAAATAAATAAATTTAATACAAAATTATCATTTTTATAATGAACTACATAATACACTATCAATAAATGACCGGGAAAATAAAGCAAGATCGTTATAAAATAATAAATGATGAGCTTTTTTATAAAATACAAAAGTTTGGAGCAATTTTTGAAAAATATATTAGTAATATTTTGGCCCAAAAACAGCTATTGAATTTGGGCAAAATGGAGGCAAAATTCAGCCAAAATTTATGACCAAAGAGGTCGTTAGGGTTAGGGCCTAAAGGATATTTCAGTCAGCAGCTTCCGCGGTGTGCTATTGCGATGGCGGAGATTGCTCGTCAGGGGAAGCGAAAATTGGAAGAGGAGAGTGTGAATGGCGGAGATTGCTCGTCAGGGGAAGCGAAAATTGGAAGAGGAGAGTGTGAAGGAGTTAGGTGATGGAGGAGGTCCAAATCAGAATTTCGCAAGGTCCATTGATAAGGAAGGTGACGGTGAAGACGAATACTACGATTCTGATGATGATCTTGTTATGTATGCGGGCGGTTCGCAGAATGAGCCGTGAGCTTCAGGACGAGTATAACCGGCAGGTCGACGAGAGCGAGGTAGGTGCTATGCTATCTACGTTATTATTCTTGTGGAGTATATGCCTTTTTATGCTTGTTGATTTGTCCTTTTCTGTAATAGGGTTTTGATATTACTCTGGATTTGACTTTGGGTGCTGGTATTGGGGCTCCAATTTTGCCACAACGGGGTAACGAGGGCGACCCAATATTTGTTGACCTCTCCCGCAGAGCCATTGAAAATTTCAATTCACAGAATGTAAGTGCGTGCTTACTTAACTGCTTCATTCTCTTTTTGGAAAATTGTATTCTGTTATTGATATTTTTGCTTGTCCTCTATTTATTTAGGCTACAACATACCGATATGTGAAAAATGTGACTGTGAACACTTCATATGCTGCTGGGATGTGGTGTTACATCACCTTTGAAGCCAGGGATGCTGATGCAAATGCTACTACGGATGATGATTCCAGTGCTCTAAAGACCTTTCAAGCATTGGCGTGGTGGGGAATTGATGGAGAGAGAGATGTGAGATATTGCAGGTTTAAGAAACCTTCCACTCATTGAAGGTAACTTTAATATGCATCTTCTCGCTGGTTACATACATTGCTTATACATGCTACGTGCTCATGCTTACAACAAGGGAGGGTGGTGTGTACGCAGACCTTAGTATATACATATTGCTACCCGAGGCGGATGCAGGATTTGATAGGAGTGAGTGCACCACCGCCTTAAATGTACACATGTCACTAGTCGTAGAATCTAAGCAGGAATATGCTTTTGGTTGATTCAGTTGGTTTTAGATTAACTCAGTCTGATCTTTTGTTCATAGTTTCAGTTTCTAGAATTTTTTTTTTATATATACACCTATCAAATGTCAAAACAGAGAGAATGAAAATCTTTATTGGCGAAGCATAATATTTTCTAAGGCAGATATTGTCCCAAAAAATAGGAAATCAAAGAGACAAAAAAAAGGAATAGTTTTTGTTAAGGGTTTACCCTCTCCATTCATGTGAAATAAACTTTGAACATGGAGATATTAGTACTACCATAATTTAATGGTTAGTCTACATAGGAAAGAAACGGCATGCAAAGAGAACAATCCTACATCAAATTCAATATAACTCTAGTATCTGCTTCATGTTGATATGTTTAAAGAAAATGTCAACTCAAAAGAGAAAATAAACTCATAATAGTGTTAAAGTTTTAGAGAATTGTTAACTTTTCCCTAATTAATAATGCATGATATATTTAGTTTTATTTCAAAATATCTTGGTTTTTGGCAAATATTTGTAAACAATTACTAATAATATTATTTGAATGTAGCAATGAATAAGAACCCCCCAATTGTATGATTATAAAAAGATTCCGGGGGAAAAAGGCCAAAAAAAAAAAAAGCAAAACGGCCCCACAAACTAAAAAAGAACAAGAGGAGAATACTGCAAAA